CTCACACGTTCGCATATGTTAAGTACTATTGCGGACCAAGTGGATCAAAGAAGAAGTTTCTGATCCACGGGGACCAAAATGAATCAGTGCAGAAGGCAGTGATTTTTTCAAAGTGAGAAACAACTGCGAGTCAGTGCAGAAGGCACTGAGTCGTGGGTGACGCGACGCGTACAATGCTTGCACAAGACCGGAGCCTTGCAAATCTTGATGTCCGACGCGATCACATGAGGAGTGACGATCCAAAGTCGGATCCTCCCACACAGTGGGATGCCATTTCTCGCCCTGCGACCTAAAACTAACTTAGGCCGCCTTACCCGTCTGAATCGGCACTAGGCGAGAGCCTACACAGGTAAACCTGTGTGACCATTTCTCACCCAACACCCCGCCCCTCATAGGAGCTAAGGGCGGATTACTGGCCGAACAGCGACCAGGGAAGAGCTTTCACTCCGCATGATCACTCGTCGAACATCGAGAAGTGTTCGTACCTACCCAAGAGATTGCGCAAGCAAGGCCGCCACAGCTTTCTGCTGTGGCGGGGTCAAAGACGAGACGCGAAAAAATAAAGCTAAGGCAATAATACTCGACATATGCGAAATTAGCGGCTCGGGTACCTCGGGGACGCTACCCCCCGTGCCCCCCACGGGCGCTCCCGTGGTTCAGGGGCCCCTGAGGAAACTTAACCCCTTGCCGTACCGTGCTCTCTAAATTTATGATGACAAGAATTCTCCCGATTGTAATTATTTCTCAGAAGGAGAAGAATATTTCTAATTATTGTGAGACTACGTTTCATTGAACAAGTAAATATTGTATTGAAAAGAAGAGAAATTTAGACGAAATTGAAAGAATAAAATAATGTTCATTCTTAAGACAAATCTTTAGTAAAAGCTAGACCCGTTAAAGTAAGGCAAGAGGTTAAGAATCTTAAACTAAGTCACACACACTTATTAACTAACTCGCACGCACTTATTAACTAAGACGCATCCCTCGGCGGATGATAATCCCACGGCGGGTGAAAATCCCACGGCGGATGATAATATCTGTAATGAACCTGAAAAGATTGAATTCTAGTTAGTATGAATACAAAATAGGTGACAAGTCGAATTGGGAAACCTAACACCAGCACACGAGTGCCAAAATAACTCGCATACGAGTGCAATTTTTGGGAAACTGGAGGAAACGAAATTATGGAAAGTTTGAACAATTTTGGCGAAAATATGGAACCTACGACGCATCCCACGGCGGATGATAATATCTGTAATAAACCTGAAACCATTGAATTCAAGTTAGTTAGAATATAAGTCGAAATAGGAAACCTAAGACCAGCACACGAGTGCCAAGCTAACCAGCACACGAGTGCCA